TCGGGAACAATGCCAACGGGCAACTCAATATGTTTTATTTGGTGCAAATACATTTGCATAAGGATAAAAACATTTTTTTCGATTTTCTGTCTCAATAAGAGGGGACTTGTTTTTAGGCTTGCCTGCCTACTCAATTTGCGATGCACATAATGACATGCCTTGTATACCGGGTGTCCCGGCTCTTACATGCCAGTACGTGGGGTTGCCTATGCACTGGCAGCAGGGGCTGCAGGCGCGGGGCGGGTGGCGAAGGAGTGGGGGGAGTGCCAACCCAACGTACTGGCATGTAAGAGACGGGACACCCGGAACAATTTCTGCATGTTAGTGTACGGAATTGCGAAATTGTGGGATTGAAACATGTTGCAACAAAAGGCACATGGGTTTAGCGAATTCGACTTGAAATCGATGCAAAGTCGTACTTGCTCGCATTGTCAGGCAGAGCGCGCAGGGCCGGTATACCTTGCCGGTGGGTCTGCAGCATGCGGTCGACAGACAGGTACGCCTCGCCTGCACTGTTGCAGCCGGGTCAACAGCAACCTCGACAGGGAAAAACGATTAAAAACCCGACGACTAAAAAAAGAAGGGGGTAAGAAAAAGAAAAAGGGAAGTCAGCGACCGGGGACGTGCGACTATTGTCTGCAGCCCAGGCAGGCCGAGGCGGGCCCGTCCCGTCCCGGCCGAGGAGCGCCCGCCTTGCACCCGCCCGCCCCTACAGCAGCACCGCCTCGTGCTTTTTATTTGGCGTCCGTTTGTCAAACGTGTTCGGGGAACCCGCGCGGCGCTGCGTTTGGCCCGGGGATCATCTCGCCAGGACCCCGGGCAGACGTGGTGTGTTATTTTTCTTTTTCTTTTTCCCGTTTCCCTGTCCTTTCCATTACGTGGAAAGATCCCCGTCGCCGCCTTGTGTTTCGGAGCCCGAGCGGGGAGCGGGCACCAGAGGCGTAGCTGCGGGAGGCGGAGGGCTCTGGCAAACACGCCTCGGGCCTCGCGGCTGGCGGGGCAGACAAAGGGCCGTAACACACGGCCGTGCGGCCCAGGCGGGCCGGCGGTGCCAGGCGGTGCCCCATATCACACCGGCCGCTCCACATCGACGGGGCGGACAGGCGTCGCGCAGGTGCATCTGCGTCCTGCAGTGTCCTGTGCCCTCTCTAACGGTGGCGGTCCGGCCGGTGGCGGCGTAGCCATGTAGCCAGGTGGCGTGCCCACCAGCTGGGCGACGAAAACCGAGCTCTCACCACCCCGGGAAAACTAATCTGAGGAAAACGGCTCGTCGCGCGAGTGAAGGGATAAAGCAAAAGTTCAGGGTGGTTCAGGGCTAAATCATCTCTTGGATAAGGACATCGGCAAGTTGACGGCATTACCAAACGTATCCTGCCTGGCAGAGGGGAGCACGATACACATTTTCCAGAGAAGCGAGGCATACCTATGCCATGCCACTTCATGGCACAGCATACATTTTTCCAGTCCAGTCCAAACCGTTTCCATAACTTCGCGATACTAAGTTTACCGAAAATCGTGCAGTATTTCGGCCAACGACGGGGCGGAGATATATATGTTCACGACGCTCACCATGACCCCTTGTGTCATCACAAGCCCTTGTCTCTTTCGCCTCTACCTGGGCTGCCCCACTGATAACGGTCCAGTGCGGCACGGATGGATCATAAACCCGACACTGACTGCGGCGGGCCGGGCGGGTCCGGGCGGGTCCGACTCGTTGTCGGGACGGAGCGAGCGGCGAGCGCCTGGCGGCGGCGGGTAGGCCACCCGCACCTACAGAGCTGCAAGGCGGGCCGGCCTACCTCCCAGGGGCGCTGGGGAGGCTCGCAGGCTCGGCCAGCAGACCGGGCTTGTACAGAGTACAGAGACACCTTAATATACTAGGCATTGTTATAGACAAAGAGGCTGATCCCTGGTCGCGGAAGCGATGTGCGTTTTCGTTGATTTGTGATTTTGTTATGTTGGCAATTAATTATCATGGGGAAGTAATTTTCAACTTCTTTCCTCCTTAGTTTTTGTTGTACCCATTTTGCCCATTTACTCGACGCCGCTCCTCGTGCGTACGAAATATACCTCAGTTCTACGATGCCGTTCTCATGCGCAGGCTTGCCAACGCACAGACTGCAACATGAGGCGTTTTAGAAGCAAGCGCTCGTTTTAACCTTGACCTCAGTTATCTTTCTTACGGTAATAATTGCTCAAGAATCAGTTTCGCAGCAAGTTTTGTTGGACTCTCATCAGAACAGTATATCTCTGACTCACATCAACCCTATAAACTTTACCATTGGGAAGGTTGGATCCCCATAAGTTATTGGGCCGTGATCTGCCAAACTCCTGGGGGCTACTCGACTCGATTGATAAGGCTTCGCCTCTTATTCTTATTCAGATTCTTTATCTTTTATTGCTTTAAAGGCTCAGCCAAATATATTACTTATGTGTACAATTATGTTTAGCGTGCGTTTATTAATGTATCACCTGTTTAGAACGAACCACCTGCTGAGCCAAACTGTTTGCAACAGCCACACAGTTTGGTCAGGTGTTTTCATACTTCGCGCGATCTGCGTCTCTTGCCTTGCCGCCGGGGCCAGGCAGGCAGCCAATCGGGAGCCTTGCCTCGCCCGGCAGAAAAGAGGAAGTAAAAGATAACGCGAGTTGCAGCCAGTGTGTTTTGATTCACTTGAGCCAACAACATAACCTTATTTCCGAGATCTTATTCGTGCTTATACGACTTGAAAGTGTGGTGTTGAAATTTTACACCCATTATCAACAAACCTCCGGTGATTTGCTCCATTGCTCGTGCGAAACACGTTCTGGACGGCCTATTGTTGCATCTTACCCGTGGTACGGAGAAGACACCTACCTGTAGAAAAGAAAGGCTAGTATATCCAACTTTTGAGGTTGTAGTGCAATTTATGTACCTCCTCAACTAACCTACGGTATATTTCCATGATCATGACACTCCTTTTTGTTTGTGTTGTAGATGAATCTGAAGTGTGATTTTTGTTTCCTCAACTTTGACCTGGACTCCCACCGCCCTAAAAGCTTACCCTGTGGACACACAGTATGTAAGGAATGCGTTGGAAATCCTGTCATGGGGAGGAAGTGCCCATCCTGCAGGAAGGTCAGTACATTTAAAATATCATGCGGTTCATGCCAATATTTTCTTCTATCGGAGTCACTTGAACACTAGTACAAAAAATTATTTGTTTGGGTGGGTAATTTTTAGTTTGCAACAAACCAAATTAAAGTAATATAACAAACCCTAAAAGAGTAATATAATTAAAATGGCTGTTAATAAATAAATAAAAATGAAGAAAAACTGGACGCAAGGTTCAATTATGGTTAGGCGAGGCCACCTAATGTTGTTTTTGGCCAACAAATCCATGCTATTTAAATGTTCAAACGGCTGAGAGAGAGGTTGGTGCATCATTCAGAATGTTTCTGAAATTCTTTTAACAGATTTGCATGTTTTTTGCAGAAATATTGTAAGGTAAAAGCATTAGTTCCTGTCAGGGAAAATAAGGGTCTATTTCTATACCATCAGTGACCACAGCCAACCCCTTGCTTTGGTTTTCCTGTAAATCCATTTTGTTTAAAACTGTCAAAGAAGACCTGTGTAAAAAAATGCAACTTTTAAAGTTGACCTCTCAAGGTATTTCTTTTTTTTTTACCTGGTTCAGGCATTTAAGCGATGCCGTCCTGAGGACCTACCCGACACTGCCATAGTGGTTCGATTGCTGGAAAACGAGGACGCACCACCCTGCAAGAAGCCTAAGACCGAGGACCCAGAGTTGGAGCAGCTACAGCGGGGCGCGGACGCGGGGCGGAAGGTGGTGGAGATGCTGCGGCTGGTGGTGCCTCAAGCGGTCGAAGCGCTGAACCGCCAGCTGGAGTCGTCGGTCGCCCAGCTCGGCCAGGTGGAGGAGGCCCTGGAGAGGCGGGTGCAGCGGGAGGCGGCCGGCGATGTGGGCACC